GATACCAATGGTTACAGTGCCTCCATTGGAAAATTTTGAATGATTTTTATGGAGATTCCATTATATGCAGTTGCATTTTTATTCTTTATATTCCTCAAAATTTCTACTAATTCACTAATACTTGTATCGTACAATGTTATGTTATCCTCAATTCTGATATCTTCAAGATTTTTCAAGGGATCTCACATGTTTCTTTTTTATTTTCCCGTAATATCACTTATAGCAGACTATGTTTGTTTCATTTTATTAGTGGACTTACCGATTTGGTTATCATAATGGATTTTCTTCGCTCTCTTAATAGTGGATCTATATATTCTGCGGTAGTTATTGAAGAAGTCGTGGAAGAAAAGACCGTCAGTAAATTTTCGTATGTTATGCAGTGTACGTAAATTTTTCGAAGAAATTCATTAAATACATTCAATAGCGCGTTGTGAAATGCGAGGAAAGTTTCACTTTGGGACAGCATACCTTCCCAGTTAATCTTTAGAAAATTCTGATAAAACCTATTGTAATTTGTTCTACTGTAAAGTCTCCCAAACTTGAGTTTACGTTGTGTACTTAATGAGTCAAGACGTACAGAACAAGTAATTGCTTCGTGTAATAAGTAATTGCGTGTAATAAGTAATTGCTACAAACATAGTCAATACAAGAGCTAGAGAATTGGGAAACACGAGTATCTGAATCAACGTGCAAATTCAAGTCAAAAGTTAGAAATGAATTTTTGAGTGAGTCTGTGTCTGTCGAATCCTCATTGTTATAATTTATGTTACAATTACCAGTCAATAATATAGATGAGTTGACAGATAACTCAGATAATGAATAGATTTGGTTATTAAAAAATATATCTACATCAGCAGAAGGTGAACAGTAAATACATAAAATGTACAGATTATTTTTTTCACTGTAGCAGATAGAAAACTCAAACGATTTGTCTTCGGACAAATCTTGGAACTTATCAACTTGAACGAAAGTCAATTCACCAAGAGCCGAATTGCTAATCAATATCATAGTTCCTCCATGATTAGAAAAGTTTCTGGAGTATCTAGATATTACAGTGTAGTCAGGAATGCTTATTGGTTCGAGCTTATTACACCAATGTTCCGTAAGCGAGACTATTGTAGTCACTTAAAAATATAAAAAGTTCATCTAATTTGTTCCGAAGGGACTGAATGTTGAGTAAGACTAAAGTAATAGAGTTACAATTAGAAAAATTATTACAATTGTTATGTTCTTTAAATGATATTTTTGGATCATAGGAACTTTTAGAACATAGTTTTATTTCATCGTCTGATCTTTTTTTAGTGTCTTCATGGAGGGGTCTAAAAAACCTTGAATGGTTTCATTCGTGATGGAGGGGAATTTCAAATTTTTTGTTTGTTTATTTCTGAATATGAGATATATGAGATTTTTTTGATATATATTTGTTAACTCACTAGATGGTTTTCCGTGCTGAGCAGTGTCGAAGGTATCTTCAAAAATTAGTGTGAATTTTAATTTTTCTCGAAAAAAAATTCATTTATTATTCTATTTCTATTTTGTGCATCCGAAATAGTTCTCCTCAGACACAATAGAGTTGTGCCAGCATTTTTTCTATCTTCGAAGGAGTTCTAATATGCACCTTTTGGTATGTCCTTGAGCTTTCTCAGTGATTCGATTTTCATCTTCTCAATTGTCGCAAAATACTGTCCTTTCATGGGACTCTTTAATCTTCGTGGAAGAAAAAAGTCACTAGAGGCCAAATCAGGTGAATACAGTGGCTGACGCATGATTACGGTGTTGTTTTTGGCCAAAAAAATTACGGCTCATGATACCAATATTTTCCTTCGTATTGCTACACGAAAGCGGCGCGAAATTTCTAGAAAATACTCCTTATTGACTTCACGACCATGTGGCAATAACTTCTGATGAACTACGTTACTAACTGAAGAAAACATTGAGCAGAACTTTGAAATTTATTCGAACTTCACGTGCTTTTTTTTGTCTTGGCTCTCCTGGACTATTCCATTGAAACGATCAACTTTTGTTTTTCATATCAGCATTTACCCATGATTCATCACTAGTTATAACCTTTTTGAGCAAATTTGGATCGCCTTTCACGTCATTCAACAATTCCTGAGCGATGCTCATGCTACGGTTCTTTTGGTCTTAATTATCAATTTGGGAACGAATTTCGCTGCCACACGCTTCATCCCCAAAATTAAAAAAAAATTGTATGGTATGAGCCAAACGATATGCCAACATCGTCACTAACTTCTCTGATAGTAATTCTACGATTCTTCATATTGATTCTCTTCACATCCACAAAATTTTTATCGGTCGTTGATGTGCTGCGGCGTCCAGGGCGAGTGTCGTCATTCATAACAAATTAACATTGAATGAAGACGAAACCAAATACTTGTCATTCACCTCCTACACTAATAACTTTCCAAACATGGGCCCTTTAAAAATAAACGAAAAAACTTCACTACCAGAGGCCACTTCAATCAAATATTTGGGAGTAGTTCTAGATCGACATATGAAATGAGATCTACATATGTCACATTTGACCAGATAATTATGCGAATTTCTATCACGTTTCAAATTATTGAAAGAAATTCTTGAAAACCTCCAGTTAAAAACAATTTACTATGAATTAGTACAATCATAGCTTTGTTATAGAATTATAGCACGCGGCGGTGTGGACGATGAACACAGTCTGAACGTAATACAAAAACATATCTTATGACTTATTCCAGTAGAAATTCATTCATGAGAAGCGGATTTTTTCATATCATACAGTTATTCTACTTGAAAATCACTTCCAAAATTCATGAGGGCAAAATATCACTGAACAAACTTCAACACCCATTTGGTACTGGGAACATATGGTAACAAGATGTAAAAAATTAGTCTGTCGAAGGCATTGTTGCTATATGGGCGCGAAAATTAGGGATTCTGTACCAGATAGGATAAAAACCATAAGAAATAAAAATAAATTAAAAAAACAGATTGAAAACTAGTTGAGGAACTGTAATGACAATATATTCCGTGAAACCATCAACTGTAAAATTGGAACAACACTATATTTGCCTGTTAACTTGCCAATTATTTTCAAAATTGAGAGATTTAGTTCCATACTGAATAGTTTTCTATATTGAATAAAACAACAATAAAAATGAAAACAACAATAAAAATAAAAACAACAATAAAAATCAATTGGCGCTCCAGGGCAAATTCATTGATTCCAATGGCGCATTTGCTTTTTCAGCTGCAGGAAAACCCGGAAAAACCTGCAGCACCACATCATCTGAAGATCTTGTTCTGCCAATGTCCTCTCTCTCATAAAACAAAATGTAGGGTGTATCCAGAGGCTCCAATAGATTCAATATATCGCCAGAACACTTCGTGACACGACTATCTTCAAATTTGAACCAGTCAGAATTATAGGCAATTTTTGAAATGTCTTCGCACATTTCTCATCATTTCTGGAGTCACTGCACGACACTCCACAACAATTCTCCTGCGTATATCATCAAGACCACATGTGACTCATTGTACATCCTACCGAGGAGTTGTCCTCCTAGGTCATCGTCCATCCTGTTTTTTGCAGGAAGGTGGACAGGTCACCGAAAGACATCTCCTTTATATTGGCAGGTGAAGGCCAAGACTCGCCAAATATACACTCTCTTATCGACGATAACTCCGGACACTCGCATTGAACAAACCTGGCAGACTCATCTTCCTTTTCACACATCCTGCAAAGAGATGTATCTACTAGCCCCATATTATGGAGATGTTTTCTTAGTTGACATTGGCCAGTCAGAAATCCTACTGTTAAGCGTAGATTTTTCCTGGTCATCGCTAGATATTTCTTCGGCGACAGCTTTCCAGGGTTGCCCAGGGTGATCCTGACAAGATTGATTTCATTCCATCTTTTTAGAGATTGAGCATTGGTGTAACGTTTGGCTAGTTCCGTAATAGTCGAAGTCATCAGGCCGTAGGTGCCACTGGGTCCTCAAACTCTTAGTCCAGCCGCTTCCTTGGCTAAATGGTCGGCAATGCGATTACTTTTACTCCTGTCGTGCCTTTTAATCCACCTCAGGATAATGTTATTATCTACCGAGGCTTTGGCTAAATCTTGGTGGCACTCTAGTACTAGCCCTGAGGTAACACGTTTTCTGCTCAAGGCTAATAGTGCAGATTGTTATGTTTTTGCCAGAAATTCCTTTCCTGGTTATTTCTTTTGTAGCGATTGAGTTACAAGCCAGTTCCATTCCCCACTTTATCCTTAGGCTTATTGAACACAAACCTGGATTCAATTGCATCACTGGTTGCCTGCAGCAGAGGTTGCGCAGTGACTGCTTCTCGCCATAGGCTCAGCCTCAATTGACCTATTCCGACTTCAAGGTTTACACCAGCCGTATGCAATCGTAACATGGGTATGAACGTCAGATCATCAGGAGATCTAGCCGGCCATTTTATTATTCCTCACCTTCAAATCCATCTCCCTGTGAAATTGTCATCTGAAAATTGACATACAGGTGCGACAAAATTTGGAAGAGCTCCATCTTGTTGAAAGGTGAGCTGACCTTCAAGTAGACTATTATCGTTTTCAAGTAACAGAATGGTTCTCGGGTTCACAGTTGTATCAAGAAGTTCAAGATACGTTTTTCTGTTGAGGTTACCTTCAATAAAATATGAACCTAAAATATGGTCTCCCAGAATACCAGCCATTCAATTTCTGGGGAGTTTATGAGTGAGTCTCCCTTTACCAGTGGGGATTTACATTACTCCAGTATCTGCAGTTGTGCCTGTTCACATGTCCATTTGAATGAACAAAAAACCGTCAGAAAAGCACACGTTGTAGAGGTAATTATCATCACCCATCAATAACTGACTCATGATTTCACAAAACTCTGTGCGTCGGTCACGCACATCTTCATTTGATTCTTGTACATTCTCCATTTTATAAAGATGGAATTTAGCTTTTTTCAGAATTCGATGTACACTGCTATACTTACATAATGAGAAATATTCCTCTCATGTATTCCTTCATATCATCTGCCAAATTCACTGTGCAAACTCCAACCCCTTGGAATATATTCATTTTCGAGTATTTCTGAAACAAGGAAAACAAGTAATAATTTCAAGATTCTTTTGCACTATTCTATTGAAGGTTATGTTAAGAAGGTTTAGGTATGCAGCTTATAGATGTTCAAAAAAATTCTCAAACTGAAAAAGAAGGTGACCCAGACGGAGTCTTTTTTAATTTGTCATGGCATCAGTTTTTTGGGATGTGCGTGGAATAATTTTCATTGACTATCTCAACAGGGGTAAAAAAATCAACGGCAAGCAAAAATGTCATTTCTAGTCCCAGAAAAGTCAATGAAAACTCTGCTTCATCTACTGAAATGTCCCTTACCACCCAAATTTTCAGTTGTGAGTGCTCTTGATCAGCATACCGGAATCCATTGAAGTTATCAAAAACAAATTTGAGCAGAAATTTACGCCTGCAAAATACGGTTTTAAACACGCAAACTGTTAATCCGATGTAACGGCAATTGATCTCTGTAGAAGAATGCTGTTTTGAATTTTTCGCGGAAAAATGTATATAATCACGATCCAATGATTACAATGCATGATAGGATTCAATTCATCATCATCTATCAGTTACACGTATTTGAAAAACGTGAACTGACCCAACCATGAGTAAGTTGTTTTCCAAGGATTCTTTCAAAAACAGACGAACGGTATTGAATATTCAACACCCGGAATGTAGGAACTGAGAAGATTAACAGCAAACTTGAAAATGAAAATGATGAATGGGTGAGAAAATTAACCAGGAAAAAAGTGTTTCACTTCGTCTGGACAACTGTTGTTACTATGAAAGAGTGAAGCAAAATTCAATCTCTTGGACAGAGCGGTGGAAATTGAGATTGATGAGGAACCGTCATAACAATTCACTTTGGGAACCTTTAAAAAAGGAGTGCTTTGGACATTCCTCTTTTACTTGTTAATATAAAAATATAAAATTTGCACAGCTATGTTGAAGACAGTCAAATATTCTTTTTTGGTGGTGAAAGAATTACTTAAGCAATTGAACAAATTAATGAATAAAATTAAGTTTTTTTTCAGTAGCACTTTCTTAGTGAATAACATATCGAAAACTAATTCTTCAATCAAACTTTTATATACCCCACCCCAATCACCAGCTTGAACTACCTGTTCAGATACATACTCAGTCATAATAACCTAAAGTATATTTTATTTCTATATCTACTGAATATTACTGGAGTTTTTTCCCAACACCAAATCGTTATTTTTAACACCTCGACACGTGTTTCGACCACCAATTGCCCTTTGTGTGGAACTAACCCCAACTTATATTTCCGGACGGAACGTTATCCGATCATGAATTTCTATAACTAAATAGCTTCGCGTAGCCATATTGGACGTGAATGATGGGAATATGATTCGAAACAGCTATTTGCGAAACTCATAAAACCGAGATAAGGAATTCACCAGGAAGGCGGAGTGTTATTTTGATGTGAATTACCATATTGGCAGGATCGTCTGTGAAACTTGTTAGCCCTTATCGCACCTGAAAATTGATAGATAGACTTTTATTGATCATCCACCAATTTACATTGGATTGATAAGTCAAAAACAGAACAATGTTGAAATAATAAAACAATGAAACATTCAAAAAAACATTTTCAAACGAAGCAACACTGAAAGTAGGTAGTACTGTTGTTCTGAGAATATGATGAATGATATTGGGCTGCCTCAGGGGTCCGTTAAATACATTTCTGTGTGCAAAAGCCATTTACTTCATCAGTGTATTCCTGAATGATGATTTATGATTTACTTGTTGTCTGAGAGTTACACATGTTTGCCTGTTCTTCAGTACTATTAGTGTTTGTGGCATTTCATTATATTTTGTTTGATGTAACAGTATTTGACGTGTACACCAATCCTAAGGATGGCTGCTATGTAGCGGGTGCAAATAAATTATTTTGATTTTCTTTATTTGACAGTCCGAAATGAATTCTGAAATACTATAAAATGCCCTAGACAACAGATAACATTTCAATTTTGTTTTGAATCTGAACAGGTTTGGCTGATTCTTCAAGTCATCATGTAGCATGTTGAAAAAGTTTTGCCGCAGCATATTTTGGGGATTTTTCGTAAGTCGAGTAGTTGACAATTTCCAATCTGAATTGGTTTCTTTGACGGGTTGGGTAGTGGTAGACATCCGCATTTGAAAAAAATGGTTTTTATGAATGTAGGCAAATCTTAAAAATTTACACAAATAGATACTCGTGAATGTCAATATTATCTTTTTTTTGAAAACATCTCTGCAAGATTCCCGAAAACCCAAGTGAAATATCAATCGTATGATTCTGTGCTATGAACACTCTGCTGCTGCCAGTAGCGGCACCATGAACTATAATATTATGACCAATAGAAGAATATACCAATGCATGGTAAACGCTCATGAGACCTTCTTCTGCTCTTCAAATTTCCAAACGCAAAGAAGTGCTTATTCAAGGTGGAACATAGTGACCCAATGCAGACGGTACTATTATTATTATTATTTGTCCCATTTGAGGTTTTTGTCGAGGATTGTACCCAAAAACTTGGAGCTACTTTGAAATGTTTATATCCAGGTCTTTACCGATGGCTCTTCTCGTAGTCGATATGTGGAATTGAATAGCAACAGTCTTCCAGTAGTTTATCATTACATTATTCTTCTGACACCACTGGTCGAATTGATCTAATGAGTTTTTTATTTTAGCTACTACTTAACCTCTGTTAGGGCCAGATATCAAAATTGAGGAATCATGTAAACATTTCCATCTCTCACATGTTTGTAATTCAAATAGTGACTGATGGAGTTGAGAAAGATTCTTCAGTTACCTGTTCTTCAGAGGTTTTGACACTATACAGAGAGTGCAATTAAAAACTTTGCAATAGCGAAGAAAAATCAAGGGACCCAATGTAAAGCTCTGTTGGAAACCTCTTTTTTTAGAGAAAATTCACATCTGTGTGGATCCCAATGAATTTTCTGTTTAGTGAGAATTTCTAATATCGGATCTATAATCAGTTCTTTTTATCATTTCAGATAGTCCAAGTTGCATTAATGTTGAAAAAATTATGAAATAAGACAAGTTATTGATGAATAGCGTATGTTCCTTAGTGAAAAACACTTTGAATCTTTGCAGTAACTTTTCCGGATGAACCAGAAGTTTGACCTTTCTACACTTGTATGGAGTTTTTTCATTAGAATCCTGTATATCCCTGGGGTTGCTAAAAATTTTCTGGGGTCCTTAGCTGACCACAGACTTTGATAGTTTCTGAGGGTCTGAATATTGGTTTCATGGCGTGTTCATCTGAGATTTTCCCAATCCGACCTGTAAGATTCTTAACATAGGGGAGGAAATATTTTCCCTGGACCAGCCTAAGTGGCTAGGAAAGGCATAGAATCGACCATAACTGGCTAGATCTATGTCATGCTGGTAAGAGGAATTGCAACTACGGCTCTTCAAGGCAACGCCTTTAGGTTCAGGGTCACCAGAAGCTGCCTTCAAGGTGGGGTACTATCTCCCCTTCTATGGTCGCTACTGATGGATAGTCTGTTTGATGCTCTCGATAGAAGGAAAGTAGATCTGCAAGCTTATGTAGATGACCTTGTCATCTTGGCAAAGTCCACATCGAGAAGAGTAGCTTGTAAAATCCTCTAAAGTACGACGGACATTGTTCACAGTTGGTGCCTGAGGGAGCAGATGTCTGTCAACCCCAGCGAACCTGTGATTCAACCCACTTTTTCTCAATGGTGAGGTCATTCCATTTGGAACAGAGATGAAATGTCTTGGCATTTTCTTTGATGAAAAATTCACCTGGAACGCTCACTTGGAAAAAATTTCATACAAAGCCAGGCATGTCGAAGGATTTGTGAAAAAGTTTGGAGTTTAGCTTCCAAACAAATCCATTGGATCTATGATCACTTACGGAGCAATTACTTGGTGGCCGAAACCTTTACAGAAAACGGCTCAGGCGAAGCTCTCTGGCTCACATAGACAAACTTGTCTCTGGCTCACATAGATAAGCTTGTCTGGCCATCTGGGGTGCTACAGTATCACTCCGTTAGCGGCCATGGAGATCCTACTAGATCTACCTCCTATCCACATTTTTCTGGAGAGAGAGGCTAGACAGACTGCTGGTTGAGATCGGAAATCACAGCATTCTGGGAATAACCTCTGACTTTAGCCTCCAACTATCAACTACGAATTACCTTATAAGCTACTGTTCTTGAATAGAGAAGACTGGATTCTTCGGTAGAAGGAAATATTGAGAGCAGATAGTTGTTAGTTCACAGATGGATCAGAAACACCTTTAGGTTCTGGTGCAGGTGTTTTCAGTCGCAGATCCAGGACAACGATATCAACCTGCCTAGAAATCTATGCCACTGTATTTCAAGCGGAAATTTATGCTATCGAATGTTGTGCAGAGGGATTGAAAAACCCCAAACTCATACACAAGCTAATAAAAATATTCTGGGATAGTCAAGTCTGGGCGTTGGAAGTTCTTGGCTCCTACCGAACAACGTCTAAAGTGGTAACAAATTGCCAAAAACGACTCTCCTCGATAGAAACACTCAATAGATTGTTCCTGGTCTGGATTCCTGGCCATACTCGCCTGGAAGGCAATGAGGCTGTTGACACCCTTGCAAAGAAGGGTGCTGTCAGCAGCTTCATCGGACCAGAACATGTCATTGACATTGCTTTAGGATTTGCCAAACGAACATTGATCCCCTGGAAGGCAAGGAGATTTATAGACTTCTGACAGAATCTTCCAGGATTGTCTCACTCCAAGGCGTTTATTCACCCTTCGAAGCTTGATACCAAACAGTTGTTAGAAAACAGTAAGGACGAACTTCGATGTCTAACAGGACTTCTCACAAGTCACTGTTATCTGAATCATCATATGCAGAGAGTTAGACTGTCGGAAGACAGTGTGTGTCACGCCTGTTTGGAAAATGATGGAACAGCAGAGCACATGCCTGCCCTGCTGGGGACCGTATTAGGTTTTCAGAGTATAGCAGGGATTATTTGGTCG